GTTTAATAAAATTTTGAATGTAAGACACTAAAACCTTGTGTCATGTGCAGTAAAGGGTACCCAGGGTGATAAGGTTAATCAACATTACTCTAACATATGCAGTGAGTTGGGGTGAAGCTGGAAGATGTGGGCTCTGTAAATATCCCCTTAATGTTGGTCCAGCACTCCAGGGTACTTGTATTGTCCTGGAGGAGCCATTCCTGTTTCACTGGCCCTCAAAGCTAGAGAAACTGATATATTACCATTGAACTATAAAAATAAAACAAATGTTTACTTATCAACCTACTTCTATGAAATTGTTTAAAAAAAAGAGAGGAAACATGTAATAAAAACATGTTTGCGAAAATTAAGTATGATGTAGGGATGGCAATGCCAAAAGGTACAGAAACAAGATAGATATGAATACACAAAACCATACAAAAATGCATCCATAAGTAGTAAGTAAATACTGAGTCAGTCTTACAAGCATATGGTTAGTATCCACTGTAAAACTGTATAGCACTATTCAGTTTAAATGCTTTTATTCAAACCTGAATTCATGCAACTGACAGGATTTCAACATTTAGTTATAGATAAAAGTTATTCTTGGAAAGATTTGGATACTTATGTACTGATTTTTGTATGGTTTTGTGTATTCATCCAAACTTTGTTTTTGCAATTTTTTGGCAATGCCATCCCTACACCATACTTAATTTTTTTGCAAAATCTTTTTTTTATTACTCGTTTAATTGAAATCCAATAATTGTACACACCAAGAAGTCACTCTCATTCTCTTTAAACCAATTTTGAACAAAATAAGCACAATGTATAGTAGAATTATCATTTTAGAAAAGACCACACCTTTATTAGTCTGTTCAATAGTCATCTTTTTTTTTTATCAGCATGTCATAATTGTTGGTGGCCATAGTTTTTCTGAGTGGGATATATAGTCCCTTTCATTTGTCACTAGTTATAGATTCTTATGGCAGTTTTTGATAACAACACCCCTTTTAGATGAGGAGCTATTAACATATCCCTTTGAAAACCAGAAAAAAGCCATGCTTTTGTCCATTGTTTTCCAAAATAAATGTGGCATGACTACATCTCTGCATTTATATAACTCAATTATATACTAGACTCATCAAATTATTAGTCTGTTTTTTTATAAGTCTGTGTAAAATTACAAAAGAAAAATATCTTGCATACTAATGAATTCTTTTATGTCCATATATGCTAAGAAGGCTATCAAATAACCTTTTGTAGCATTATTACTGATATATGTCTGCCATTTGTATGCCCACTTTGTAATTCAGTGTTACTGCTGGATCCCTAAGCACTCAGATCTGTTGATATTTCAATTTAACTTCCCCCTTAAACCTGTCTCCTAGAAATTTATTTTTATGGTTTTGCGACAAGTGTCACTTAAATTGGCCTATTAAATGGTCCTTTTATTTGTGGTTACGAATGCTCTAATGTTTCACAAAATACAAGTTTATTATCAAACATATCTTGTTCATTCCACTGATAATGACATTACCAAGTGGATAATGATTTTTCTTGTGGATTTTCACTCAGCATGATTTTATCTTCTTATAATAAACTCACACAACTTTACAGTTGGTGGAACTTTTGTATTAATTTGTTCTAACATCTTTAGTTTATGAGGAAACTCCCGCAAACTTTGGAAAATATCTGTTAGCAATCTTTTCACATCTTCTCATTTAATTAACCTCACTTTCCAAGTGCTCAACACTGTTTATAATTTTGGGTCACTTATAATCATAGCTTTAACCTATTCTCAACATCTAATTTTGATGGTAGAGTGGATCTTAAACTCAGCCCTCTTGGTTCCTGAAGTGTATGTTTTTGACAGCATTTTCACAGCAAACATTACTCCACTCTCTACATTATATTTAAAGTTATATTCTTTCTAACTGCTCAAAGTATGTTCTTGTCGAGATCTTCACAACTTATAGGAAAGCCCCCAATGGCACAAGGATATGTCTGCAGACTTACAACACTAGAAACTTGGTTTTGATACCCGTGGTGGGCAGAGCACAGATAGCCCATTGTGTTGCTTTGTGCTTAACTACAAATGAACAAAACTTATTGGAAACTTCCATACATTTTCTTTCAATAAATCAATGTATGTAAAAATTGGCAATGATTTCTACCTTCAAGGGAATTACAATTTAAGTTTTCAGTTTTCTTCAACTGCTCCTTCAAGTGAGATGTCAAAGTGGAATAACATTACCATCTTCTTAACCATCCTAATATCTCCCCTACTGAAGTTATTATATATATAAAAATGATAACTTTGAACTAAAAAACACAGATGACTGCTGTATGTTGTGTAATGTTTAGGTGATCACTATACAGCTGCAATATTCAATAAATAAGGATGACAAACCTTTGTTATTATCAGGGTTTGAGCTTAAAATTACTGATTTACTTGTCTGTTGAGTACTCTATTAATTAATTTGCACAGACTCATAGCACATATACATTAGTTTTTTTTCTAAGCAGTGTGTTATCTGAAGAGAGAGACTTCCAGATGGGTAGTCCATGGAATACATCATCATATTAAGAATAACAAAATAGGCCTGATATCATTAAAGCCTATCTGCACTCACTATTGGAGGTATCACTTCTCTCATGAAATAAAAGAAAAATGTTCATATAAGTTAACTTTCACAGTGTAAAGTTACATTCAAAACTGTTTTTTTTTGCAAGGTTCAAGCCCTGAGTTATTCTTATAATATGTATATGAATTTCATAATTTTCACCACTAAGTACCAGGCAGAATAGGAAGTTTTAAAAACGTTTATGCACATCACATTATCATTTGCCATCAGTTATTGAATTGAATACTATTCACTTAGTCTGTTGTGATTTTAATTCTTCTCTTGTAATTCAGTTTTTATAATTATAAAATTTTGTTAACCAGTGCATGTTTATAAGTAAATAATCTTAATTATACATACTATATCTCATTTGTCTGAGTAATGAACAGAAATATATTCAAAGCTTTTGACAGACCAAGGACAATTATTTTGGTAAAATTTCAAGAGTTACTTGCAATGATTGTAATACTTTCACATTAGAAGCTGAAATCCACAGACCACAGGCTAGAATTGAGAAAGAAGAAAAGCAAAGTGAATCAATCTCAGCATTGCAACAGGCTGAATTGGATGAACTAATGAGAAATCTGATTCAAGAAACTGAATGTTTTCCAGATCAGCAACCTCTTAAAAGTGTCCAACCTGAAAGCTACATTTCTTTTTCTTCAGCTTTGACTAGTCCTACATACACAGATAAACAGAATCTATCAAATACAGAGGAAAGCCAGTGCTGTTTTTCCAGTGAGAAAGAAGAAAAGCTTTACAGTACATATGCAAATAAGACTGCACAAACTTATCCTTCAGTGATTTTGGAAAATGCATGTATTCTGCCATCTAGAGATTATTTGACGAATTCTAGTGAGCCTTTCTCTCAAAGCTCATTTTATAGTTCTCCAAACATTCTACCATCTGAAGCTAGAACCATGGATAAACCATATGACAGTTCCCCAGATTGTTCACTCAGTAGTCTTGGACCAAGCAGGCAAGTGCTGATTACTTGATTCTTAACTATGTGTATCATAATATATTTGATTTTTTAAAGATCATAAATATTGCTAATAAATAATGATCCAGTCCCAAAAAATGTCTTCATAACCCTTTCTGCCTTCTGCAATATGTAGTTGTCTACTCTTCATGTAACATTGACTTGTGTGCCATAAGTGACTTTCTGTGAACTCAAGCTTGAAAATGTTCTTTACTTCATATTACACTTTAAGTTTAAAATTACTATGTGCCAGAAATAAGTATATTTCATTCAAAGATCTGAAAACATTTTTTATTCCACTGTTTGCTTATGGCATACTTTTATTGCTTTGTTATGTAAAATTATATTATCTTTACCGACCAAAAACTTATAATATAAATCTGTATAACCCTTAGCAACTAACAGTTTGGTGAGTTATTTTTAAAAAATGGTATATCCCTTGTTTCATTTTTATTTTAGGTCTCCAATCCCAAAGGACAACACATGGCTTCAACAACAGTGGCACAAATACCTTCTCAAACAAGAAGGACATAGAAAACAGGAACGAATGTTACGTGAACAACGTGTAATTGCTGAACTCAAGGATGTTCAAGCTAAAAAGAACCAGCTTCTGTCACCATCTGAGTTAAATAAACAGACTTCTCCAACAATAACAAAGAAATGTTCACCTTCTGAGGTAAGAAATGTCTAAAAAGTAGCAAACTCTTTGACCATCTGAGTCAAATAAACAGGCTTTTCCTTTGATAACAATGAAATTTTCACCTTCTGAGGTAAGAAATGTCTAAAAAGTAGCAAATTGTTTCACCATCTGAGTAAAATGTACAGGAGATCTCTCTCTCACACACCAGTCGAGCACTCTACCAACTAATCTAAAGGGCTAACCGACTAGCACTATAACTAATAAGGCACTTTTTATCAAGTTACAACAATACATCTTGCTGTTTCCCTCCTTCTTCTAGTGGAGTATGGGAGTCCTTGCCGCCATAGAGGCTTCCTTCCGAGTGTGCTCACTCCTATTCAGTTGAGAGTAGGGCAGTGGTGCTCTGCCAGTGTAGATGACATTAACGCTCATCCTACTGTGAATCTTATGTACAATTCCAGATGCTGCCAAGTGATGGACGATGCATTTCACCAGCATACAGTTCACTCGTCCGGCTGAGGCACCCTCTCTTATATTGTCCTCCGGATGTCAGTTCTCAGCAGATATGGTGATGATTGTGTTGGATGTGCACACATGATGTTGCAGATTCTTGGTATGGAGGCTCATCTTCCCTACCAGTTCCTGTATCTGAGGTGAAAGGTAGATGCCTCTCCTCCTACTGTGGGCCGGATATCCCTATCCCGGTTTGACTGGTGTTAATTGAGGTAGATCTCCCATTTACTGTCTAATGCACCCTAGGCACTCTACACCAGGGATCACTTAATTTCATTTACTTAATTTACTGGGATTCCTCCTTTGATTCTGTCCTTATTGCAACACATTTTTCACATGGGTGAAGAGTATACCTTACACAGAAGTGGTACAGTCTCCCACAGATGTGTTACCTTCCATTTATTCGCACACCCCATGGTCTTCCTTTAGGCTCTTTGTAAAAGGGGATCATCTTCTCACCTGACCCTCTGTCAACTCTATGTGGGATTCTAGCTATTTCTGAGTGGAGGTTGGAAGTTAACATTCTTCTTCTCTGAAAATGTACTTCCATTAGATACTTACCTCCTCTCACATTACCCACCTGACCTCCCCACTTCCAATGTAGGTCTTAAAATGTACTGCCCTTCTCGAAGTGATTACGGGCTGCATGGAAGAGAAGACACTAGTTACAATAGGAGTTATGTCATACTCCTATTGTTTGAGGGTTGCTGCATGATCATTTGCTTGATAGCATGCATATGTCTCAAATGAATACACGTAAGGGTAGGTGAGAGTATCAAGGCTAGTGGCAAGCAAAAATTTGTACCTATAGAGGGCAGTATTAGTCAAGAAAAGCTATTTGTGAGGAGAGAGGTAAGTATCTATCATAAATACATTTTCAGTGTAGGAAAATATTAACTTTTGTATATTTACTTGTTCCTAAATAACCAAAAGGCTCAAAAGAATAAAATTCTTTTGTACACCTAATTAGAAATTAATATATTATGATAATAAAAAGAGTGGACTTAGCAACAGTTACTCAATTAAATATCACATGTACTTACCATAAGTATATTTTTTATTTCTATCTGATAGTAATTTTGAAAGATTTGTTTTTGAAATGCAGTTAAGCTTGGTTACTGCCAGTAACATTGTCCAAAACTAATGCTTTTCAAATGTACATAATATTCATGCATTGTTAATTTTTAATTTTAAAAGTATTTGTGTGAAGGGAGTTAATAAATGACCATTAGACTTCTGAAAAAGTTTTATTTTAATTGTATTTAAAGTTGGCACTCCACAAGTTGTAGAAAAGTAATGTGCTGCTCAATAAGAATAATTTGAATATATGATCACAGATAAAAGTGTTAAATGTCAAACCACTGTTTTGGTTGTTTCTTGTTCATATTTTATACACTTTTTATACACTAATATTATCTCATGAAAATACATTCAGGATAGATCAAATGTTTTTAAATGAATGGAACTATTTTTACAGGATGATTTACAACTGCAAATCAAGAATAATACACTCAAAGGTTTTATTCTATATTTGATGAAAATCTTCAAATCAGCATAATTTCTTTGATTGTAATCCTTTTAGCAACATATGAAAATGATTCAAAATAATTTCTCTTTGCTCATGAATCACATGTTTTGTGTCACTACTTGCACCCCTTATCTTTTTCAGTTTTTACAGGAATCTAAAACATAACTTAAAATGCCCCAACTCATAAAAACACTTAAATCGATAATGAATCAAAAACCTGTGAATACAACATATGTTTCATCTGTAAACATATTATTTATTTTCACTTGTATTTATTTTGTTAAAGCTCTGTCCATTTATAAAACTTAATTTATTTAATATTTTCTACCATATAGTTCTATTGTGAATTGGAAGAACATTAATAAGATTACAAACACTTCCAATTCATGATCTTAAAATTTGTTTGTTTGTAATTAAGCACAAAGGGCTATCTGTGCTCTGCCCACCACGGGTATCGAAACCCGGTTTTTAGCGCTGTAAGTCCGCAGACATACCACCATGCCACTGGGGGGCTACAATTTGTATGTGATGGAAATGTTGAATATCATGATAAGTTTCAAGAGCACTTAAAATTGATTTCTGATGCAAACACTGAATAACTATGCAAAGGTTGAATATATTATATTCTCCAGACGGGTCATGGTTCAAAAGCCATGTCATTGCGTTTGTGGACTCGTATTCAAAATTTTATTGAACTACTATTTCATGAATTTATTTCAATAAGTTTGGTATCAGACTGTAGATTATAATTCAAGTTTTAGTATTATATGTTATTTAATTTCTTAACTTAAAAGTAAATATTAAAAAACACATTGATTTTTGTGTGTCACCTGGTATGTTGAATGCAGCACTGGTTCAAATTAGATGTTTATAATGTCAAAATACTAAGTCTATAATTTAATATGAATTACAAACTCAAATTACTGATACTGACAAGCTAGAATATAAAATAAGAACCTTCTATCTTTCTCTTTGCTGATATATCACTCATGTAATGAATCAAAAACAGTGGACACTCACCTCTTTCCATTTTTGGAAATGGTCCCTTATATACACTTACTTCTATATATGACATTGAATTACCATTTGAAAGCTCAGAATGTCCTCCTAGTGGCATTCTCAGCTTTATTCATGTGTTAGGATGCCATCTCTTTCTTTCAAACCAAGATCTCAATGAGGTAGGTTGTGTCTTTAGTCTGCTCACAATTTCATCTTTTTTTTTAGACCCAAATACAGCTTAGTTACTAAGCTTGATAAATTGTAGTGGAATTCTATGGCATTGATATAGTAATTTATGATTTTTTGGTTATTCAACTGTATATATATATATATATATATATATATAATACTAAATACTATATTATTTCGTTTCATATCCTCCATGTGCGAAATTTTAAAAGGCTTAGCAACCAAGATCAAGTAGTAACTGAGTAAAAAGGTCATAACTAGAAGAGATAATTGTTTCCTTTACTTCTTTATTTACTGTTCTATGTTTTAAAAAAAATAAGTTTAAGAACTTATTTCTAAATAGTAATAATCTATATACATATATAATGTATAATAATTGAAATGTGACTGTGTTTTACAAAATACTAGTCCACTAAAACACAGCCAAGACAGGTCACTTTGTAAAGACTAAAGGTCAGATTTATAATATTTGATACGGTAACATGCGAGTATGTGTGCCACGTCATTGTAACTTCTGTATTGTTAGCCAGGCATGGCTGAAAGGTCAATATAATAAAAATAATAAATATATGTAAATGTAGAATGTTATGTAACTTAAGCTATTTAATCTAAACATTTATGTATTCTAGAATGAAAGAGGCATAATTTAAATTTATTTCTTAATTTTTTATGGTGGTTACAAGATCAGTCAAATCTACCGAACCCGTACAAAGATTTATTAGTGAAAATAACAGATAAAATATAAAGTTTTTTCTTAAGAAACATTTAATATCTTTCTGGACATTATAAAGATTTTGCATGTGAAATATGAAAATTTTCTGATGCATAAAAGTATTTTTAATCTTAAAATGAAAATTACTTTGCATGTTTGATAGGCAGCATGTGAAAAGAAAGAAAAAAAAAGGCATGAGGAAACATTGCTTAGCAATCCCTATGACTTAATAAAAAAATCAGATATTTTGTATATGAAAGCATTGTAATGTTTACTGATAATCTGCTAAATTTTGTTAACATACGCTTAGTAATTTAAAAGTTATAGCATGAAAACTGTAACAAGCACATAAATGTTTACAAGGTTACAGGGAGTGAGCCTGTGCTGAAAGAGTTAAGATAATTTTGAAGTCTCATCACATTGTTACATGATGTCCAGTCATGCTGTATCTGACAATCATGCACCCTGACAATAGCCCTGTAGCATAATTTTTATTGTAAAAGGCTATCATGTCCAAAAAACACCACTCTTTTCTGTAGGCTTTCCATGATTTGTCTGGTGTATAAAGACAACCGCTTCCTAGTGCCCATTTCATCAGTCTGCTCACACAGAAATCCATAGATGCAAAATCTGGTGAAATGACCACTATGTCTTTGTGTAAAATAATAAGAAATGCAAATATGAATGGGAAAAGTCTTCTATGTGACCCAGTGATAGTATGCAACATAATCAAAAATGATCTCCATGTGGACACAATGCCAAAAGAGTATGGGTTCATCACATAAAATTTCTAGTCATATCTTCCATTCAATTGTTCCATACCTTGAACTGCTGGAGAATGAAAAAGATATTGAGAGTTCTCATCTATTTGCTTCCCATGACTGGAGTATGACTTGTTGTAAGTCTCTTTTTAGGATGCTCATGGTGCCCCACATTAATCCATATTGCTTTGTTTTCTAATGCATTAAGTAGAAGGGATATTCCCATCTTGGAAATTCTAAATCTCTGATCTGAACAAATCTTTATGACCTGAGTGTATGAATATTTTGCATCAGAAAGGGTTCTTACATACATTCTTCAAAAGCATACAGTTTTTGGTGGCATTACACTACTTACGTAAAGCCAAAGAATGTCAAAACGTAGCTTTTGAGGTTTAACATTAGTACAATGATGTATTGCATATTTGCTCCAAATGTAGCATTATTTTTTTATACTACTGTTATTAAATTGGTTACGAAAAATGATCACAATTTTTCAGAAATAAAGATAAAAATGGACTAACAAAGAATTTTTATATACAGTGTAACAATTCATAAATGTTTTGCTTTTTAAAAAGAGTATTTCTCTCTTTATTCAGAAGTTCAACAAATATCAACATTTTCGTATCTGCACAGACATTGTGGGTTCTTCAAATACCTATGATTCGTCAAAAACGTTTGTCAAAGAAATGGAATGTGATGGTTCTTTTCGGGTTGCTCAAACTTTCTCTCCTTCAAAAAGTGACAAATATGAGGGGGTACAAGTTAGGTAAGCTTTACACATTGATGTCTCTCCAATATATAAACTCATTGATTTTTCCTTCTGGTATCATTTTTTTCAAGGATTTTTTTTTGGCAGTGTAGGAGTCATCTTCAGCTAAGACAGCTTTAATTTTCTAACAGGATGGTTGGCCATTGGAATGGAAAAGCTTGAAAAATATTTGAATTATAAGGGCCAGATTTTAGTGTTTTATTTTTATCTTTAAAGTTTAGTGGATGAGATAACCTAGATTAACCAACAAATCCTTTGTTATCCTTAAATTATATGTATGTTTGTTTTTATGCCTTGAAAACTTTAAGTTATGATTGAAACTCACTGAAATATTGTAAATAATGTTATGGACGGTTTATTGAACATTTTATGTGGCAAACAGATAGCATATAATAATAATGTCCTTAATTTTTTACCTTTCTAAGTAATCATACTAGAGAATTAATTAGCTTAATAACTGAAGAACTATCTGCTTAATATTGACTTAAAAGCTTACTGAAAGCTTTGTTTACAGTTTGTTTCATTTGGTCTTTAATTTTTAATGTAATGGCAATCAGTACAGAATTAGCCTAGTGATGAATTTACAGATAAATATCTGTTGAAACTATTACATGAATTTGTTGTGTTTTCAATTTATTTTTAGATCAAGAGGAAAGCATGTAGTTGAACCTTTGTGTAATCAATTAAATAATATGATTGATAATTTATTGTCTTCCCCATAGGCATCAACAGAGCCCAGATATCTCTTCTTCAATCACCTGTTCTCAGATTATTAAAGTTCCTGTCCAGAAAGGCTTCCATCCAAAAGCTATTAATGGTTTCGATGAAAGAGACTGCCACAGAGATTCTGAGACAACAGAACTTTTCAGTAATTGTAATCAGTTTGGTTTTCAAACCAACTCCAGCCCATTGGTTAATGGAAATTACCATAAAATCTATCATATTGATTCTACTCTTACAGCTATAGACAAAACTTTTGGTTTAGAATCAGAGGTAGTAAACCAAGCTGGTCAGCAGTTTAATAGAGAGCTAAATGTAGTTAATGGTCATGGTCAAAACTTTTGCTATTGTGGGTCACAAAAATCTGAAAGTAATAGACTAGGACAGCAAGATCGCCAGATTAGTACACAGCAGGGTATGGCCAATGGTATTGAACAATATGATTATCAAACTAGCCCGTGGCAACTTAGAAGTGATCCTCCTGATCCACAACGTTATCAGAGCAACCTGCAAAAGTTTGTGGCCAGTGATTCTGAACAAGGTAATTGCTACACTTTGAGTACAGTTGATGAGTCCAACCAGCTTAGCAACCCTATGATTTCAAAGTCAGTTCTTCAAAAAAGTTCAGAACCTCATTATACCATACCTGTTGGCTCAAGAATACCAACTACAGTTAGAACACTGTCTCCAATCCAACAGCCACACACAACGAATCACAACATTGTGTCATACAGTGTAGCAGTCAGTGGTTCTTCAGTTAGTCAAGCTGCTACAGTCCAGTTTAGGTCATCTTTACCAAAGCATGGTAAATAAAATTGTTATGTATTTAGTTAATACCGTAAGACTTCTTTATTATATGTATACATATTAAATTATTCATATAGATTACCTTGCAAAGGTACTAACTTTGAAGTATAAAACACCAACCCTTACTTCTTTATTTACTACAAAGGGTGGGTTGGTGCAAAATTAACCTGAACAGTTAAGTGATTATATTCCACTTATCTTTGATCACTACTACACATTTTTATGTCAAACGGGAACAAATAGTATCAATGAATTGTGAGTCAAACCACAGGAAAACAAATGTAGACTCTTGTCTTCCTATATCATTTTGGTAAGACTGAAAGTATTTTTGTTGTATTTTATAGATTTGATTGTGGATTTCTGCATATCTTTGAAATTAAATACATATTTTCTTTCTCTAAACTGAATAAATTCATCAACATCCATTTTCTAATCAATTTTTTACAAAAATTTACACCATATATTTTGATTATGCAAAAAGAAGATTAGAGTTTCCTGTAGTGATCTTTTAATATAATGGTGCAAATGTTTGGTGATTGGTTAAAACGAATTTTGGGGATTATGAAACTTACTATTCACCAAAATTTTCACATATTTATTTGTTGAGCCAATAAATGCACAAATGTAACTATGGGGCTTAATTACCTCCAAATACAATCTTTACTTCAGTACACAGTTTATACTGAGTAGAAACTTAAAGGATTATGCCAGTAAAATGGTGAAGAACTGAAAATTTGTTTGGTTCTTAGATGAACACATTTCTCCCTAACTCTAATAACTTAGCACCATTTATCTCAGTGCGATCCTTTTGTGAGGGCATGAATACATCTAATAAAAAAGTGCATCCAAAAATCCATAGAACTGTGGAAAACAAAAGAAGAGAGTTTGATATGGTTCTGAATGGAAATTGTAGAGGATTTGTAGCATTTTTTATATTAAATAGGTTTGGTATTTGAACCTATAGCAAAATATTTAATAGAAATCCAATTGGAAAGCAAATAAAAATCCATATGTTTCTATCAGAATTCAGTTGAAAGCTAATTGAATCCAATTGAAGTTTAATTGTATCCAGTACATATCCATTAAAAATATCCAGTTAAATGCCTATTAAAAATTAATTAGATTTCAGCAGAAAACTAAATGAAACCATAGTGTCTTATTTTACGAATTGAATTAGAGTAAGCTAAAAATATATATCAATGACATAAATTAAGAATATAATTGAAAAATTAGGTAAACTAATATCTATCTATATATATATATGTATATAACAGCCAAATGTATGTCTGTCTATCTCAGTCATGCTCTGTATTTCCTGAATGGTTAATTGTAAAAAAAAAAATTAACATCAAAATGCTTTTTTTAGGAGTATATTACAGAAAATTATTCATTTTTTGCAATTCCTAAAATTTCATTTCAATATCAACGTCGATCTGGTAGTCCTTGTATGTGCTGAGCGGTTAATCTTAGAAAAACTTATTAAGAACAAAAAATGAGTGATTTTCATGAAAAAACAGGACTTCCTCATTTGTCTGATTGAAATATATACTTCAAAGATAGGAGCATGAAGTGAAAAATGCATAAAGAGGGGAACATGTTTGAGTATATATTTGTTGTTGTTGTTAAACTTATATATATATATACATACATTTTTTTTTCATGTCGATATTATGCACATGCATGATTTTATTGTACCATGTCAAATAAATTGGTTTGAATATCTCCCCTTTGACACTTATTATAGAAATGACTATTGTCAAAAAGCACTCACTTTGGTAATGATCTTTTCATGCACTCAGTAAAATGACAAGTAACAATGGTAACAAGTGGAAAAATCCCCACAGCTCCTTAGCAAACCTGAATACTCTATTGTTCTGCTAACGGTACATTGCAGTCAGTCTTCTTTGCTTAAAAACAAATGCAATGTAATTTTCCTTATTGAAATAACACATGGAATGACAAAAGATGGTTGAAAATGGCCCCCTAGACAATCATATTGTGTATAAGCTCTAATCTAAGGGATTGGATTGATTGCACATTTTATATTTATTCATCACTATTTTTAGGAAAATTACCATTGAATTATTTCAACAGGCATTTGATAATTGTTACTATAGAAAAATGTTACTTTGTGAAAACCACACAATTAATCAAAACCTCACAAATTATGTAATATGAAAGTGTAAAGAAAACCTCTGCTTGTTTATTTTACATCAAAGGCACATTAGGCTATCAGCTGTGTCTGCCATAGGGAACCAAAACTCTGATATCTGTTCCACTGGAAATATGCTAAACCAAAACTGTAATGCATAAAAAATGACATACTTTTGACATAAAACAAAAGCTATTCTTAATAATAACTTTCAGTTCACAGTAAGGAACAGTGCGTTTAAATTGTCTAATGAAATTATGTTTTTCAATTTTGAGAGATTTAGATACACAATCCCAATTACAAATATATAAATATATTAAAATAAATTGAAAAATGCATTCCAGTATTCCAATTAATTTCCATTACATTTCCAAAGAAAATACCGAAGTAGTTCTGAATTCTCTGAATCTGATTGAGTTAGTTAAAGAAAGGGATTGGATATGATTTAACTCACACACTGAAGACAATCTATATTCAGAAACCCAGACCACAGTGTTTGTATTTATGAAATGAAATATTGTGATCTTTACTGGAGAACTAAAAGTTAAAAGTTGTTCAGTCTACCAGAGCTTGTACCAGCCTAAGAAATATATGTTATATATTTAAAAGTATAACGTAGTACCTTCCTAGGGTGACTAATAGTAACCATGTGACTGATGGTCATTTTCATTAGACAATAAAGGAGGTTCTAACCTCTAGATATCACCTGATCGACGAGTGGAAATGTTGTTATCTACACTTACACATGGTGTACAAATCTTGCAGCAACTTTTCTCATGGGAAAACAAATGTAATATCTTAAGTGAAGACTCAGAAAAATAAGTATTTTCCTGATCATTGTGTTATGTGAAAACTATACATAAACCTGAATAAATGAATAATCTTTAAAATTATGTTAATACAAGGAGGTAGAAAACACATAATATACCTTCATAATGCAATTTTCCTTCTCCCTACCCTTTATTTTCAAGTTGTCCAAGCCATTCCCAACATTAAAAATTCAAAATTGCATTTAAAAGTGAAGAAATGAAGTAACGTTTCAGAATTGTGTCAGGTTTGAAAGATTTAGATTGAAAGGTTCTGAAAAATACATTTTCTGTCATAAAGAAATTTCTTAAAATCATTAGGAATGTTTATCAGTTATCAGAAATAGTATGACTTCAGTTATAATAAGACCAAATTCTAACTGCTATTGGGATAAATGTTGAAGTTTGGTAATATAACCCATAATTTAAGAAAGCTACTTTAATACTGTTAGAATAAGGTATTTATAATTAGAAAAAGCAGTTAGTTTCAAATTGCATAGTTCAAATTTTGATTGTATTTTGTTAGTTTTTTGGAATTAATAGAAATACAGCCTCAAAAGTTAAGCAATATTTTAAACTTCTGTTTATGGCTAAACCAGTGTGAATAAGCTTTGACTTCAGTTTTCACAGATAGCAACTACTGTGCTCTTATATGATGCAAAACTATAGTTCAATCCTACTTTTAAAGCAACGAGTAAGTTAGTCTTCATGGATAACATATTGATAAGAACACTGAAGCTAAAGCTTAACCAGACTAGTCTAGCTTAGCCATAAATACGCTAATTATAACATCAAAAGTGAGGTTAAATCCTTGTATCCTTTCTTAAATCCACCAAAATCTAATTAATTATAACATCTGTCATTATGTATGCCTTTCAGGGTTATCTCAACACAACCATATCAGTTCTCAAAGCCGGTCTCCTTCTGTTGGACCAGATCAGCAAAGTAAACTTCCTGCTTCCCCTTCTGCATTACTGAGAGATCCTGTTTCAAGTGACTTTCCAAGTCCCAAACTAACATCGCTTGAACAAACCCCTCTTCAGAAAACTCAAAACCCAATACTTTACAATCAATCAACACCTCAGAATGTAAGTTTAAGCTATATACTGTGTATAATTAAGTATAAATGCTTGTACTTTATGAGAACTTTTAAATATTATATCACCTTTATCTGGAAAAAATTAAATGCACTGTGAATTATGCCAGTGAGGGTATCTTATCAGCTTTTTAAACACACTTTTCTTGTGTAAAGTGCTTGAAAAGGGGCCTTTTTTGCAAAATATATCAATATATCTAACTTTAAAGAATGTTGTAGAATTGAGCACAATAAATAAAGTTTTTATAGTCTACATTCATATGTTGAACAAATAAATAGAAATTTTATAAAATTTCAGTGAAATCCGATTGATTTTGATGCAAATTTGAGTATTCCAAAAAAATGCTTGAAAAATATTCAGCGAGTGCTTAGAAAGCTCTAGAAAAGTGCTTGTAATTGATCTGAGCAATTCAATATGAACCATGCTCTAAACTGCTTGTATACTGAATTGATTGTGGTTCATGACTGTTGCTTTCAGGATCCCTAATAACACATGGCTTTCACAAAAATGTAAACAAAAATACATCAATATTGCAATTAATCTAATTAATTACTGTGGAGGTCCCATATGTATTTTGCATATAAAATAAGAGGTTTCACTGATTTTTTATTCACTTTGTTACATTGCATATTGTAAAACAATAAATGAAATTACTCATTGTGATCAAATACGTGAACCTTAGTAGTAAAGAACAATATGAAAAATGAGTCAGTAGTTTGAGGTTTAATAATAATGGCCATTATGTATGATATTTTCTAATTCTGCCAGAGGGTTTCTGAATAAGAAATTGGTCTTGGCTATCAGTATGGTGAAATTCTTTCAGTTTACAATGAGTTGGCAGTAATCACATTATGTCAGTATGTTGACAGTCATTTAGAGTTTACGGTGGTAATACCTGTTACTCATAATTTGACACTACCCAATAATTATATTTAAAAACAAAATTGTGTTTTGTTCTTAAATTTTATGGACCAAGCACTGTCCATTGGATAGCATGCTGGACTATGAAGCTGGGGTTCCATGGTTCATGTCCCATTGCTGCCCCCCAAAATAAAACAAAAAAAGCTCACACTATATTTTGGGGCTGCAGGTGAATTATAAGAGTAATAGTCAAATCTCACTACTTGACCAGGAAAAACTATCCCTAATGTTGGAAGTGGGTGTTTTTTGACTGCATAGGTTATTTTAATGTACAGTTATGTAACTCATTTGTACAGTACTAAAATTTTATCACTGCACAGTATCAAAGGGGGAAAAAAAATTCAATGCTACTCAGGGTTCATAAATGATTTTAAATCAATTATTTTTAAGAAATCAGAAAAATCATCCATCTTGCTTGTAGAGCTTAAAAATAAATAAAAAATTCAATGCTTAGTGACTCAGAGTTGGTTAAAACTATCACAAACTTTAAAAGTTTATCAAAAAAATATAAATTAAAAATGCTTTACAGACCTTTCACCCATTTATTCCACCAACTGGGCCACCATGGTGTATGTGCAGTGATAAATTTTCATTAGAATAGTCACTGGTTGACTGTGCCTTTTTTCTAGCCTACCACTTCAAAATTAGGGAGATGACTTGTGCAGATAGTCGTCATATATCTTTGTGTAAAATCCAACAAATAAGCAATTCTCATTCTTTATAAGCTAGTTAGTGTAATTTAAAAAATAGAAAATGAGAATATATTGTGTACAAAAGGTATTCGATTGAAAACACAAAAAAAAATTTCTGTTAGACTCAACCAAGGCTTCAACTCCATCATTAGATCAGAAAAATACATTTTTAATGTCAATAGCTTTTAGCTTATCAAAACATAAACACAACTAATATATGTATCTACTTTAAGTGAGTATTTAGATTTCAAAAAATGAGACAAAGCTTTCAAGCATTTTTATTGTACTTTTTTATATGTACTCCAGACTGATGCTATGAAAGAAAGAACTTCTTTGTGGTCACCTTCATTGGTCAGTTCTTCCAGTAGTCCTCTTTTTCATCTATCTCAATGTCTCCTAAAGCTATAAATGTGAAACAAGGTAAGAAAGAAATCAAGCTGTGACTAACACTGTAAAATAATTGAAAAAGAAAACATTGAAAAAAAAAGCGTTAGACTAAGTTAATATATATATATACTTTATAGGTAATGTTTTTTAGTAAATTTACAATGTATTGTGATGGACTTTTAGCAGGGTCATGCTGGGCTTTGATGTTTATTTATCGTATGACACAGGGCCTGGTGGTTAAGAAGTTTGACTCACAATCTCAGAATTGCGAATTTGAATCTCCATCCCTGAACATTCTTGTCCTATATGGTTACCATCTGAGCCAGTTACCTGGGTGTAAAAATTTGGCTTACAAAATTACTGGCCAATCCTAAACTAGTTTGGAATAAGGTCATTACGGGGAAGAAGTTAAAATGACACAGCAATAAAAAGTACTATAATAGTATATAAAACTTAAAGAAATATAATTTGATTAAAATTTTATTGAACTTTAATTTGAAGTATCCCTCATATAAAAATTACCTGATTAACTGATTTGCACAAGGTACTTATTTATATGTATGCACTTATATATCTTTGAAAGATGAACCAATCAATTTTTAATGTGAGAGAGACTTGCCTTACCTGCTTAAAATATTAAAATTTTTTTTATAATAATATAGAAATCAAAAACAAGGATAAAAGTTACTGCAGAATACTTTTCCTTTGTAAGGACAAGCATAATAAATTTTTCTCTAACACACTATACAATAAGAGTGTATCTGTAGTCTTAATAAATTGTTGTAGAAATAATTCAATTAATTCACTGTTTTTATTTTTATTTTAGTAGCAAAAAACATATAATCAGAATTTGAGGGTTTATTTTCATATAATTAGTTAGAAAAAATAAAAGCTTTTTCCTAATGTCTGATAATAAAAGTAAAACCCTTATAGAAATTTTACAGTTTTCCTATGCCTTTTAGTTTTACCAATAATTCCTCTGTCCTGTTAGTCCACCAATGTACTTCTTCATTCAAAAAGCACTACATATTGTATGATGGATACTAAGATTATACATGTATAACTTTTACTGCAAATAATATAATGACAATGATACTATACTCCCTGATATAAGGTGGCCCGGCATGGCCAGGTGGTTAGGGCGCTCGACTCGCAATCTTAGGGTCTCGAGTTCGAATCCTTGTTCCACCAAACATGCTCACCCTTTCAGCCGTGGGGGCATTATAATGTGACGGTCAAGCTCACTATTCGTTGGTAAAAGACTAGCCCAAGAGTTGGCGGTGGGTGGTGATGACTAGCTGCCCTCCCTCTAGTCTTACACTGCTAAATTAGGGATAGCTAGTGCAGATAACCCTCGTGTAGCTTTGCACGAAATTCAAAACACAAACAAACAAACAAACACACCCTGATATATTTCCCTTAATACTTTAAAATGCACATTAAAATTTTAAAATTATGCAATTCAATTTAACTTACCCAGGAAATGTTGAACTTTTGGGTATAAAACAAGATGTGGGAAAAGTGGGCTCTAACTCTGAAAAAAAATTTAAATTTATTATTACACAAATACATTGATGGGTTAAATTGTGCCAGTACTCACTGGAACTCAGTACTACTTCTTTTGTGAGCTTATGCCAAGTTTTCTTAATCATTTTTATTTCTTGGTAGTTTAATGTAAAGGTACAGTTAATTTGTAGAAAACTTAATGCGAGGCAAAGTCCAAGCAAAAATGAATGTATGTACTTCTTTAAGTAGAATTTCTCTATAATATATTGGGGGAGATGGGGAGGAATTTATATGGTTTAATTGTAGTGGGCCAGCTCACTGATGAGCAAGCATATTTTAATACCAGTATATCCTGATTGAGCATTTTAGAGCAAAGCAACATCATTAAGTTCAACACACATTAAGTTGTGTGGTTTATTCTGGTGTGCCTATTCACTGATAAATAAGCATGATTTTATACCAGTCTATCCCGATTGAGCTTATTATTTTATAGTAAAGCAGCACCATTAAGTTCAACACACCATATGTTGTGTGGTTAGTTCTGGTGGACCAGTCCACTGGTAAATAAACATATTTTTACACTAGTATATCCTTAGCTTATTATTTTAATGTAAAGCAACAAAAATTATTTCAATACAGCTTTAGTATATAATATTGCAAAATACCTGAAAATCAAATTGCAATAGATCAGTAGAGTATTAAGATCATTCTTTAAAGTAATGTAAATAAAATATAAATCTGATCAAATAAAGCAAATAAATCATCTTTACATACGTTTTTCATGACTACTGTATCTAAATGGTAGCAAAACTATCTAGTTTGGAATGTGATTTTGCAACTTTCTCAAACATAAAGATTGCTAACAGTGTATTTTATTCTTTGATAGATCGTTAGGCAGAGTATTCATGTTGAAACTTTGTAGAATGGATGGCAACTGCCTGTTGTAGAGACACAAGTGTAGGAACGACATTTTAAAAGTCTTCCACCTTCATCTTCAGGTCAGTGTATGTAAGGTGTTTTCGATCTTCATAGTATTTTGGTGGACTGTGGAGAGCATGTTATGATTGGTTGGGTTATCCCTGTTTCTGATTGGAGGAGAGATTTTCTGTTGATTCAACCAATGGTAGACACAGGTTACTCATCTCTAATCTGGAATCTCTGTTTACTGAAGGTTTAATTGTGTTAATATAAAATGATTCTCTAATTTTTCTTGTCATCCAAAATTTGTCTGTGAAAAAAGACTCGTGACAAGAATAAAAGAACATAAAGATAGTACAAGACTCATAAAAACACAATATTCAGCCATTGCTGAACATACCATGTCAACTGGACACAAAATAAATGGGAAAAAAATTAGAATCATTGGCACGGACAAATTTTAGAAGACAAGAAAAATTAAAGAATCATTTTATATTAACAAAATTAAACCTTCAGTAAACAGAAATTCCAGATTAGAGGTAAGTCACCTGTGTTTACCATTGGTTGAATATACAGGAAATCTCTCCTCCAATCAGAAACAGGGATAAACCAGCCAATCATAACATGCTCTCCACAATCCACCAGAATACTATGAAGACTGAAAACACCTTACACACACTGACCTGAAGATGAAAGGGGGAAGACTTTCGATACGTTTTCCTCTACACTTGTGTCTCCACAACAGGAAGTTGCCATCCATTCTACAAAGTTTCATCAGTATATTTAATTGTTTCCATGTTGATACATCTGCATGTATGCTATGTTTGTGTTTATTGGTTTTAACCATATTGTTCTCACCAAAGGATGAAAAATGGGGATTTGTCACTTCAACAGACTTCCCCCATTCTCAGTGGTCACAGTTCTCCAAGTCAGTACTCGGATCAGTCCTGCCAGTCCAGCATGATATCACTGTCAGGTGAGGTGGTATTAATGTTTCAAACTTTTCTTAGGACCAGAAATCACACAATAACAGAATGTTACAGGCAGACCATATACATGACATCAAAACCAGACTATACAGGTATCATAGCAACTAGACTATATGTATATAGTGATTTTTCAGATTATACATATGTAATAACTGGCACCTATACCAATGTAACCACTGCTAGGCTATACAGACATCATAGACAGACTATATTGATGACATCAAAACCAGACTATACAGGTATCATAGCAACTAGACTATATGTATATAATGATTTTCAGATTATACATATGTAATAACTGGCACCTATACCAATGTAACCACTGCTAGGCTATATAGATGTCATAGACAGACCATATAGATGTCATCACAACCAGATATAGATATAATCACTGTCAGACCATTCAGGTGTAAACACTAGCAGGATATGCTGATGTATTTGCAACTAGACTATATGGATATAACTACTTCTAGGTTACACAGTTCTAATCCTTGCCAAACTATACAGATGTAATTACTGAAAAACTCTACGAATGTTATCATAGCTAGACTAGATGAATGTCATCACCATCAAACTGTACAAATGTTATCACAAGCAGACTATACAGATGATATATGAGTGAAACCATAAAAGCTTCACCACATCTGTTATCATGCAGTGACATATCATGACTGGACTTTACAGATATTATTACTTCGAGATTTTAGTAATATAATTGGCAATTTATTCATGGTATAAAAAAAAAACATTATGGAATTTCATTTGTTTCTAGTGTATTGGAAATAAAATGCACAGTTGCTGTTTTGATATCAGTATTGCAACTTTCTTTCAATGCTTACTGTGTGTGACAGCAGACTGAGTTTTTTCAAGTTGTAACATTTATAGTACAGAAGTTTATGGTTGACAAGTTTTCAAAATCACAAGTATAATGATAATCTTTGTTATAAGTACCAACAATGCAAAAAGTAAGAGGCATAATAAGATACTGTTTCTCTTTCAAGCACCCTACAACAGAGATGTATTTACAATATCAATAGAATGTTTTATATGTTACAAGTCTCTCAGCTTTGGCCGTTTAAACTCTAGAAATTATTTTACATTGGTATTATCTTGTAATATTTTTCTACAAAGACCAACAAGTGTTATTTTGTAACTTTAAATGTAACAAGGTTATCTTTCTCATAGATTTCCATGAAGTAACCTGTCAGCTCCCATTTTTTATGAAAGACACTTCTAGATATTGGTATAAACCCAGTTTGTCCCGAGATGAAGGTATGAGTTAAGTAGTAGTGATTATTTCCTAGGAGAATATTATTTACTTTTAGGCTGTGTCTTGTTACAGAATTATATTATTGATACAAATTAGGTTTTTATTTATGAGAGTAACAAGAAATATTTTCATAAAAACACTTTTGACAGCATAGGATTTTTGCAGTTATAACTAAAGCATATGATCATATATTTTTGGGGTAATGCTTCAAGATATTAGATTTATTTCTAATTAATATTAACTTCTAATCAGAGCAAGTTAACTACTTAGAGCAAAACTAAAATTCAACTTGATAGTGACTATGGTTAATTAAATATACTTTTCTTACTTATAAAGATACGAATGTAAGTTGGGTTCCCTTGAAGTAAACAATATTTTGCTGTATACCCAATAATGTCTCATGAGATTTGGCCAGCTTGGGAGATTGAGGTTAGTCTTAAGCTAAAATTAAGCTAAAAATGCAAAACAATCTCTATAATAAAATAATAATAATAATAAAAGTTTAGAATAATAAGATTAGATATATTAAACACTCTAACCAATGCTGTAATGAAAGTAATAATAAAAAATAATGTTACTAATTTTTTCACAGCATATCTTATGTTTTCTATTATATAGAGTGTTGAGTACGTTATATTAAAGCAATTATGATTATACAAATTATCAAGTCACATGACAACCACAACCAATATAACATCACAGTGGAATAGCATGTATCAGAACTAAATTATATCATTGTTCAGCATATTAAAGGTAGTATGATGCCAACAAAAATTGATCACTTTGGAGAAGGGTATGTAAGAGTCCTTTCTGATACAAATATACATACACTGAGATCATAAAGATCATTTAGAACTTCCAAAAGGGGGATATCCCTTCTGCTTAATGGCATTGAAAAACAAAGGAATATACATCAACATAGAGCACCAGGACCATACAGAAAGAGATCTGCACAAGTCATAACTCAGCCTAGGTAAGCAAAATGTGATGTCTCCTAATAAGTGAAAATCCACAAGGGCAAAGATCAGTGGCAAAAGCCATCTACATGGCCCAAAGAATAGTATACTCTATAATCAAGAAGGATCTCAGTCTGGAAAGAAGCCCAACAAGGTATGGGTTTACCAGATAAGACTTACAGTCATATCTCCCATTCAACCATCACATACCTCAAGCAGCTGGAGAATGAAATGGGTATTCATGCTATTCAGTACAAAGACATACCGATCAAGTTGCATGGTGCAGCACCTATGGATTTTTGGGAGATTAGACTGTTGAAATGTGTATTGGATACTGGAAAGCCTGCAGAGAAGAGTGATGTACTTTGAACATAACAGCCCTACAAAAGATCCTTTTGCAATGGAAACTATACTGCAAGGCATTTGTCAAGGTATATGGTTGCCAGATAGAGCATGACCAGAAGTGCCAACATGGATTGTAATGACATGTTGAGGATCCACATTCATTCTAACATACTTAACCTCTGTAGAGCCCACTTTCATCAAATAAAGTTAAAAAAATCATCGTTTACTTTTAGAAACTACAAGAGAAAAGAAAAAAAACTGTGTAAATTTTTTTTTGCATTTGCTTCTTTTCGTTTTTCTAGCATTAAACATTAGATTAAATGCAGGTCTTATACTCACAGCATCCAGGATGTTAAAAGATAAGCCACCAGGGTCATTTCTAGTCCGAAACAGTCACACTTTTCCCGGCTATTTTGGGTTAGTAATGAAAGTTCCACCTTCATCACCAGATATTAGAGCAGGGTGTGGTAAGTTTTCTCTTTTAGACAAATATAATTGCTAATACATAAGAAATATTGGAGCAAGATGTGTCTTGTCAATGGCTAGCAATGAAAAACCAAATTAATTATGTGATAAAGTAAGATCTGTCATTTTTAATTATTTTCATAAAGTATCCAAAGTAATAAAAAATTAGACTTCACATTTATGATAAATTGAAATGTTTTAATCAGTACAGTTTCATCTTTTTCATCAGATTGACATTATTCAAAAAATGTAACATACCAAACATTTTTCACATGTTTGAAGTGTTACAGCTATATTTTAACTTACTGATTCTAGGAGAACCTGATTTCAGTGAACTCGTACGACATTTTTTAATAGAATGCACATCAAAGGGTGTAAGGCTCAAGGGTTGTCCCGATGAACCAGTGTTTGGTAAGTGTTAATTAGTTTGCTACAACTTCAGCTAATGACAGATTAGTTAATAAAATTTTATGATTCAAGTAATATGAAATAATACAGTGACTAATGATTAAATAATATTTTAAGTATGCATTTTTGCCTTCACACATTGCTCACTGAACATCACAAATTTTGGTAAAAACTATTAGTCATAAAGCACTAAAGAAATTAAACTTTAACTTTGTGTTTTAACATGTAATGCAAACCTCAGGGTGGCAAAATTTCCTGATATATTGCCAATTTCTGTGGAACGTTAACTGCGGAATTTGAACACTGAAATAGGGCATTTAGTAATAATATAGAAAGCAAAAAATATTTTCAAGGGTGTTTTTATTTCTTCTAGGCATAAATACTCAACATTTTATGATTGTTTGAAAATTGCAATTTTGGCTACATTTTCCAGAAAAGTGCACCCTTTACCAGACCGTTTTTATTTTTATTTTCTTGTTCTTTTGCTTTTTTCTTCTTTTTTTCATGAAAATAAATGACAATTATTTTAAGATTTTGTTGTTTTATGGAATGAATACTTGTGTTGACCTTCAAACAAGTACAGAATTCATAATGAAACACCTCCCTGGTGTCCTCCTTCAGCTACTTGCCTTTCCTTATTCTTTTTCCGTTTGATTTGGCTGTTCTTGCTTTTTATTTTCTTCTCATCAGGGAACTCTTTGATGGGATTTGCCTCCTTTATCATCTCATATATTTCCAGGACCCCTGCATAGTATGCCTTTGGTGCAATGTTTTCATTTGTAACAAGAATATCATTGATAATATTTGAAAGCACATCTGAAAAATGTATACATGTTGAAAGTTGGCCATTTGCTGCTCTTTTTTTCTTACACAATAAAGGAGCTGATTGCCAAAGGAATCTTGCTCTCAGATGGTAGATCCAATGCATAGTGGTATTTCATTTTCAACTTCTCAAGCATGTGACCAGGACCATTTTTTTTTTGGTCACTTACATTTCCATCACACCATCTATATAACGATGAATATACTTTTTTTCCATAATTTTTTCCTTGAACAAACCTTATTGTCCAACGTTTCTGAAAAGATTTGTAATGTTTTTCAGGTTCAAAAACAAAAGTACTACTTAAATTACCATCATTGATATGTTGAATAAATTCAACAGATCCTCTATCCATTAGAATTTCAGTAGGTTCACGAAGACCCCGGATTTAGCTCTATTATATTATGAGAGAATCAGTGCAAAAAAGTTTAGCTAATTATCTTTTTTTCCGGCTTAAATAGCCTCGTGGAACTGAGGAAAAATTTATACCCCAGAGGTGTGCATTACATAATAAAAAACACAATATTTTCAGTCAACTGTACTGAGTTGTAATCACAATCAAATAACATCTTTTGGTTTTGAAAGATGTATGAATACTTTTTTTTGGAACTGTACATTGGTAGGACAAAATGCTTTCTCAGTCAGCCTAAGAAGTCTTTATTTCTGGTAATATATATGTAGCTTTTTACAACAGTAAGAAAGTATTGGCATCCAGTACCCTTGTAGGTAAAACTTCCTCCAAACAAAAGTTTAAAGGATTGGTCATGGTCCAATGGTTGGTGTGTCAGACTGCAAATCAAAAAAGTCTAGGTTTGTATTGCATTGCTGCTGGATGTGCTCCATTCTTTCAGCTCTGCGTCCTTTATAAGACTGATAGTCAATTCCTTATTTTGTTGAAAGCTGAGCAAAGCTTTTGTGATGGTAGCTGTAGCCGACTATCTTACTTTCCTTTGGTCAGGGCTTGGTGGTTAGGGCACTTGACTCACAATCTGTGGTATCAAAACCAGGTGCTGAAAATGCTTGCCCTCTCAGCCATAAAGGTGTTATAATGTGATGATAAATCCCACTATTTGTTGGTAAAAAGTAGTTCAGTTATTGGTATTGGGTAGTGTCAACTAGCTGCTTCCCTCTAGTCTCTTACTTCAATATTAGGGATGGCTAGTGCAGGCAGCCCTGAAGTAGCTCTGTACAAAATTCAACAAACAAACAATCCTCTGGTTAGCAAGTAATTAACAGTGCTTCCATGGGCTAGGCACCCAGGATATTGCAGAACCTAATTTTTCAAGTCATTCTGGATAATTTTTTTTATTGCTAAAATTTTTAACAAAAACTGATTGGACCAAAAAAGGCGATTGATACACTCTTTGTGAAAACTGGATCCATGGCTAGTTACTGATCTTGTATTGATAAAGCAACATTTATATGGGAAAAGAAGAAAATAGCTTGTAAATGCAAAGTGCATATGTGCAGTATCAGTATGGATGCACTGGTTTAGACCCAGAGTTCAAAATGGCATGGAAAGCAGGTGGAAAACAGGTTCAGATTAAATTAAAGGCATGAAGAAAAAACAAAGAAGGATTGATTATGCTATTCCATTGGAGAGAGCCCCCCAGTGGCATAGTGGTATGTCTGCGGGTTTACAGTGCTAGAAACCCATGGTGGGCAGAGCACAGATAGTCCATTGTGTAGCTTTGTGCTTAACTTCAAAACAAAACAAACCATTGGAGAGTGATGAAAATGAAATGTCTAATGCTACTTCTGAGGCTCTTGTGGAGTTCAAGAAGAATAGTACCATTGATTAAGGTAATGAGAATTATCCCACTGATACCAAGGTCAAGGCCTTTGTATCTGCATGAAAACAAAGAACATAAACAAATAGCCAAGAACACAACAAACTCAGCTTGATCTTAGCTAAGAGGCCGAGAAGGTAAATCAACACCACAGGTACTTCTTCTAAGATGGACGTTCACCAAACAGACTAAATTTACTAGTGCGTACTATGGGAGTCAAAAATTAGCTATAGCGTCACTAAATCTGTGAATTGTTTTTTTTTAACTTTTTGTGGAACTTTAGTGCAACTTGAAAACACTAAAATCTGGAATGATGTTATATATTAAGGTCTGCCATAGAGCCCAAATCCTGGGTGCCTGGCCCATGAAAGCACTGTTAAAAATTAGGTGCTGCTATACCTGAACATTAAGGGTCTCTGACATGACTGGTTAACCTATGTGTTGTATAAGATGTTATTCAGATAGAAAGTACCAACACCAAACATCTAGTTATCTTATTATACCCATAAATCCTTAAATAGTGAGCAAGTTTTGGAATTTCTTATGAATTCTTTACAAGATGGGTCAATGGATAGTTTATGACACTGAAATCTAGGGTTAAATTCCCCACAGTGAAAGTAACACTGATAGCACATTGCATGTGTTGCTTTACACTGAAACAAAACAACTTTACAAGGGAGAGTACAGACAGTCTGTTGTGTAGGTTTGTGCTTAACAACAACCAAACCAAATATTCATCATTATTTTATTTACCAATATCATTTATAAAAAATGAAAATAAATTATGAAACATAGGGGTGATTAAAAAAATGTTTTAAAGAAATAATGTATTATTATAATAAAATAATTAAGTATTTTAATCCATTAAAATGTTCTCATCTTTCCTTTAATTTTGGAATTTTTATTAAAAAGACTTGATTCAGAATTTTTGCTTTACAGACTAAGATTTGGTAACAAATAAAATTTTGGTCTTGTGTCTTCATTTTTTCATTTTAGGAAGTTTATCAGCTCTGGTTTATCAACACTCCATCACAGCCTTGTCTCTATCCTGCAGACTTCTACTCCCAGAGCTCGGTAAGTTGCTGTAAGCATAGGTCATTTCATCTGTTACATGATTTTGTCATCTGTTATTCTATGAATCAGTGAAACCTTTATCACTCCTATGTTTTACATCAAAACTTACAGATTACTCAGGCCTGTGAAGTTAGAATTCATAAAAGTTGTTTTGGTTATAATAATGGAGTTTCCTTAATTCAGCTATGCAGATTTTGAAAATAATATTTTTTTTTTTCCAACATGTAAGGATATTTTACAAAATGGGAAGAAAAACTTACTTACATCAAATTATTAT